GTGGGATTCTTCACCACACTGTCTTCCTCTCCCACCTCCACATACACCCCGTTCTTCAACCTTCACCAAACTCCCTTCCCTAGTTCCTTCACCTCTGTCCCTACCACGAGGACGTTACATCCTTTTACCTCACCAATTTTTCTCATAATTTTGTATCACAAAATCCTAAAGAATTCATTTGACAATGACAGAATCCCCCTTCAAAGTTGAGGGAGGGGAAGAAATTAAGAGCATGGAAAACCAGAACTTATTCTAGTGAGCCTCAGGAAAAAGGAGTTTGAAAACATACAAACAATAATAATTTTAGTCACAACACGTTTATAGATTTATGCATCATATTCTGGAGTGGGTTCCAAGGAAGAGTTAAAGAGGGGTCAAGATATGGAAGCACGACAGCCTCCCAGGCCCCTAAGGGAGTCTGGCTCCATTAATATATTATGGATCATTTTGTAGAGTGGGGGAGGGGGAGAAAAAAACAAGCTTTCGCATGGTCTCTAAAACATATAGAAATTATGAGCACACTTTTTACATCTATAAAAAAGTATAAAAAGATGAGAAAACATAGGGGTGGTGTTTTTTCTTTCTACCACTAAAGATAAGAAATTTTAGAAGTCTAATATAATCAGAAATAAGGAAATCAAGATCATGTAGCGATTCTGTCCAACAGAAAATTCATAGGTGGAATGTTTGTTCTCTAGACAATGTTCATGACCAGCCCTAAATAAGAACTACCATTAGTTTTTCAGAAAAAGAAGGAAAAAAAAAAAAAAGCCTACATGCCAAGCACTGTGCTAGTCATCTTCCCTGAATTATCCCTGATTCTAACAGTAACCTTGCAGGCAGTTGTACTATTATTATCTCACAAAAGATAAAACTGGCTTTCAGAAAGGTTAAATAAGCAAATTAAAGTAAAAAAATGAGGATGCTCCAGGATTTAAACTTAGTCAGCCTTGCTCTAAGGCCTTTGTTCCTTGTACCACACCATTGCCCTCAGAACTCATGACAATTGAATTCTCTTCTAGAAGAGGTGCCATAGACTTGAATAGAGGGGACCCACCCCATGCAGTGTGTTATTCTCAATTCCCGTGTGTGAGCTATTCAGTAGTAGATAGAATTGCACAAAGTGAGGGACCTAGAAGATGCTTGGAGATGAAGGTGCTGCACCTTGGAGCCTATTCTCCCTTCACACCTGCTGCTGCTCGAGGAACACCTGGCCTGGGTGCAATAAGCTGCTTAGCCTCAGGGAGACTTTGAGCCCAGATGGCTCTCAGGGCCACCACTTCCAGGCCCTCTGTCACCCTACCCCTAGTGCCGCCTGGCTCAGCAGGAGGAGAGGTGTTCATTCTCCCCTTCCCCTCTCCTGCTCCCTGGTGTTTTTTCATGAGCATTTCTTCTACACATTTATTTTTATTTTGTTTATATTTTTGGCAGCTCTCCACTACAGGGCCACTTGAGCTAAGTGGCCAGCCCTCTTCTACAAATTTTTGAATCTTCAGCCCCCCTTTTTCTCAGCTTCCCTTTCAAGTCCTGATGTGTTCATCCTTGTCCTGTCTCAGCTGATCCTGTTCTTAGTCTTCACCCATGCTCTCGGCCAGAAGTCCACAGCCTTCTTTTGCCTTCTTTTGAAGACTGTTCTTGCTTTGGTGAAGCATTCCCTGTCCCCTCTCCAGGGCCTCGCATCTGCATTACAAGCCTGACTAATCCCTCCACTCTCCCCACTCTGTGCAATCACTGGGTGAAGCCTCACTGCAGATATCATCTCATATGCCCAATGTGGTCACACCATGGCTCCCTCTCTGTTTGCTCAAGTAACTCTGAAAACAGATCCTAAAATGTTATTTTAGTGTATGTCAGAGACACCCGCTTTGGGGTTTTTCCAGTGATGGAGCCATGAATTTTTATAAACTGAGTAATGTCATTAGGAGAACTTGACTTCATTTTATTGATTCAAATCCTAGAATGTTGCTTCTAGAAGTAGTCCTTCATTTTCAGACTAGACTGGTAATAATAACAATTATAATAATAGTAATCATGATGGCAATGATAATTATTGGTGTTAATGGAATACTTGCTATACTTATAAAGCCAGGCATTGTGCTTTGCACATATAAGCTCATTTAACACTACAAAACCCTACACAGTATTAACCAAGAGCCATAGCATCCTGAGTTCTAGTAACATTGAGAGTGTGGAAATAGAAAGAGCAACTAGTGATAAACCCCATTTTTTTCCATGTACACATTAATTCTGGAAAACAAATAATCCAATTCCAACAAAAATTCACCAAACCATAGCCCCAACTCAAAACAATTTTCTCCCACAGCATTAACTTTTCTGTTACTTTTCACAGCACAAATTCATGAATTTTCACGGCCCCCTAATCTGAAGA